TTAACGACGTAGTTGTCTGAATATTCTCAGGTCGGCGTGATCAGCGAAGGGATCAGAAGAAGAAGAGAAAACTAGGTGCTTCTTCTTAAGTGATCTCTTAATAAACTTTTGTTTTATCCAATCAGATGTTTACTTTTTACAGACTAACTTATATGTTAAACCTTATGTACGTTACTTTTTTTGTTTCTCTAAAGAACGGTTCAACTCCCATTGTCTTAGACAAGCTATCTCGTGTGTGACATTATAATCTACTAGTGTAGGGACTATTTAAGGATAAATTAAGTATGAATCAGTATGCTGTATGCAGAACAAATCCATTAATAATACAGACTGTACTGCATTTTGTCACCATTCAGCTAATTAGTTGCATAAACAAAATTAAATGTATAACATAATCTGCATGCAGATTAATTCAGTGTATTATGCAGATTTGCAGATGAACAATGGATGTAGACTTAATTTCATTTTCCTATTAATTACATATAATTTAGTTTTGGAGGAAAGGAAATACTTACTCAAAGCAGTGGCTTTGGCAAGGTCAATTTACTCCATGAATGTTTTCAAATTACAAAAGGAGGTTTGTGATGAAATGGAATATTGTCACAATTGTTGGTGAAGTTCGGTTAATAAAAGAGGTTTGCATTGGTATTGGAAGCAGGGGCGGAAGTAGGAAAAATTAAGAGTCAGTTGACCCCACATAATTTTAATTAACCTTAGTGTTTTGATAAAATTTATAGCATTGACTTCGTTATAAATTTGTTAATGATCTTTATATAATTTGAAATCCACTTTATTTTATCTGTAAAAAAAATATTTTATATTTTACTTTTAAGAAAAATTCATGTAAGTAATTTTAGCTACACAATAACTAAAGTTAAATATTAGATATTTGGGTTCATTTCTTTTATATAAATTGTTGACCATACTAATAAGTTATAATTAAAATTCATAATTATATATTTCTCTTCTTTGTATTAGTTTTAGGTAGACTTTTATAGCTTTACTTTTTTAATATACTAAAACAACTATTCATTAACTTAGATTTTAATATAATTACAAATAGCTAAGATAACTTAAAGTCAATTTTTTTTTTGTTAACATTTCCATTCATTAGATAAAATATAGAACAAGATTACCAAGCTAATTATGTCATGCTATTACTTAATTTTGAGTATCCACTCAAGTTGTTTTGCTAGTTAATCAAGATAGTTTATGAAACTCTAGGGATTTTGTGATATGTTAAACTTATCCTTCAAATTATTTAAGACATTTCCAATGATTGGCTTTATTTTTAGTTTCAAAAATTCATTTTATTCTAAATAAAGTAAAAATGAAGTAACATCTTACCTAATGGTTTACTTCATTTCTTTCTTGTAAAAAGAATATTTTAAGTATATTATATCTCTACAACATTGTTAATTATTAATAAAACTTTATATTTTTTTGCATATTTCCAAAATTTACTCTACTATTTTGTTTTAACAATATCCAACACAATTTCTACTTTAATATAAAATTAAACATTATCATGTAATATGATTATTATATGATACGAATAAACAAACACAAAACATCATAATTGTAAAAAAAAACACCACGTATATATATATATATATGTAAGTGATTAACAAAAACGTTTAAAAGTAAGAGATGAGCTTATTTATCTTTGATTATTTTTAATTGTGTTAAAAGTTGTTAAAAATGAATATTCATATGATCTTCAATATAAATATCAGATTATTTGAAAATTAGTCAAGTTTTGATATTAATTGGATAGTATTAGTATATAATTTACTTTATCAAAAATTAAGAATAAATAAAAGTTAAGAACTAATTTATAATTGAAAAAAAAAATCTAGTTTCAATTTCAAAGAATGAAACAATGAACATTATAACTTTAAATTTGAAGTAACATTGTTCATTGGTTCATTTTGAAACAAGAAGTGAGGCATCATTTGGAACAAAATTTGTTTTAAAATAAAATAAAAGCTTAAAAATGAAGTACCGTTAGAGATGGTATTAAGCTATCATGACACTATAGATGACGCCTCAGTCATGTAGAAATTTTGTGCACTTTCTTCTGTAGATATGTGATGCAAACTTTTAATTAACTTTGAGCCCTGTTAAAAAAGTTTCTAACTCCTCTACTGCTTGAAAGAAAATGTGTGTACCTAAATAAGAAAGTGGATTTGGATTTAAAGATTCAGATGCTTTCAATCAAGCCTTGCTAGTGAAGTAAATATGGAGAATATTTCAGAATCATTACTGTCTCATGGCGAGAATTTTAAAATCTAGACACTAGACACTTTCCAGATTGTTGTATTTTGGATGTGAATCAAAAAAAAAAAAGTCTTCTTATATATGCATGGAGTCAACGTCTCCTTCCTAAAGATGGTGTATGAAAACACAAACGGAGAACTCGAAGAAGTTACGCATGGAGTCGATTTTGAAAACGCATAAGTGGTATTCATTTAGTTTGTTTAATATTTTAGTTTAATTTGTTCATGGTGTTGCTTATTCATGTTCTTTGGCTTGAAAACGCATAAGAGGTATTCATTTAGTTTGTTTAATATTTTGGTTTAATTTGTTCATGGTGTTGCTTATTCATGTTCTTTCCAAATCCACAGTTTGAATTTTTTTATCCTGAAAATTATATCACGTCTTTAGAGTTAGTGGCTGATCCAACATCTTATTAAGTATGGATCATGCATTATAAAAATATTTAGGTTAAGGTATATTGATATTAATTTTAAGCTAATTACTAGATTCTGACCTTGATAAATTTTTTTGTTTTAAGTTTGTTCTTCAAAATTTAATTTTGCTATTTATGTTTTTTTTGCAATCATATTTTTGCAATCACGACTTATTGATATAGGTTTGATCAATCAATATTTTTCTAAATGATTAATAAGATATTTTAATATTTTTCTACCTTGTGTGTGGTGTGTCATTATAATCGACTAGTGTATGGACTTTTTAAGAATAAATTGGATATGATTTTCCAAAAACATGTTAGACCATCTAAATTAACCAAACTATGAAATTCGGTACGCCAAGGTTTCGTATGATGTATAGTCATCGCATAGGATGTATCTCTATCTCTATAATATTATTTGAGAAGTCACTTTCTTAGGTGTCGCGCTCACGTTAACTCTCATATTGGTTGATTACTATGATACCCCTAATAAATTAAAAATATATTTAAATATTATTATTTCCTTTTTAAAATCTTCCAAATAACAATATAAAATAAAAAGGAAATATTTATAAATTTACAAAACTATTTAAAACGAAAAATAAGTATATATATAATATGGTTTCATATAAAAGGAAAATTTACAAAATAATAATATTTAACTTAAATATATTTTTAAATAACATAAATTATACTTTTAAGTAATAAAATACTTTATATCTATATCTTCCTAGATGAAAAATATA